GGCATATAGTCTAGTTTTACATCTGTTGTTAGCCGCAGATGTTGGTGACTGCAAATCTTTTCTCTGTTGAATTAAATTAAAGCCGTCTTGGACTATCAGGTGTTAAAGTCCATGTTGCTCTCATCTGCTCTGTTGGTTTGGTACCTGTTGGCACCACGGTGTTGTCTGAGCTCCAGCCTCGACTGTTGATCTGGGTGTCAGTCTCACCTGTTCCATGGATTGCCTCCATGTTGATGCTCTCTCGATGCTTGTTGAGCTCAGCCATATAGCCGTCGAAGTCATTGTTGTCTTCGACCCACTTACCAATGTTCTTGTTGCCACCGAGCCTCTCGATGGTTTTCACACCGTTGAAGCCGATGTTGATCTTCACTCTTGTCATTGGCTTCAGGTGATGTTCTTCTTGAAGGATCTGTTTGGTCCTGTTGGGCGTAGGTGGACTCATGTAGTCCAGGCACTGAGTGCCGGTGTATTCCAAAGCCTGAACTGCGATGCCCATGTATTCATCTTTTCCATCAACGATGTTGTTGATGGCGGGCTGCCGGCGGGAACTTCTGTATACACTTGTTGTGCCTTCATTGATCTTATCTCTTGTTTCATACCTTCAATTGTTTGCTCTTTGTTCAGTCCTTCAGTGTTCTTGACCCATGGCTCCAGTAGGATCTTCTCTGTTGTTGCTTCTTGCCCATCTTCATTGGACAGAGCTTTGATCTCTTGTCCTTTCTTGGTTTTCACGGTCACTGCTGTGATCCTTGTCCTTGTTGCTGGTGGTTCAGTCGTTGTTTCTGGTCTCGTTGGTGCTGTCTGTCTTGTTGCCGTCCTTCGTTGTTTGGACGTACTTCCTTCTGCTACTTCATCTGCCACGTCTCTTTTCGGCGTTGGCAGTGGCAAGGGTGCTCTTGCCCTTTGTGTTGGTGGTGCTGTTGCCATCGGCAGGTCTGTGATGGCCGGTGGCTGGCTTGTATGTGTTGCTGATTGTGCTGCTGTTGTGGGAAATGGTTGTTCCTGTTGAAGAAGTGTTTGTGTCTCTGTTGTCGCCTGTGGTCTTGCCATCATCTTTGCTGTCGGTATCATGACAAAGCTTGATGCTGTTGGAGTTGTCATCGGTGTATTGTTGATGACATCCAGAAGTTGCTTGTTATACTTCTCAGGCTTGACCTGTCTTCGGATGGTTCTTGATCTGACCACTTTGTTGGTGATGCCCAAGATGTTCTCGTTTGTTGAAGTGTTTTTGCCAAGCCAAATTGCTGGAAAGAATCTGGCTTCCATCTTTGGCATTTGTTTTGCTGTTGGCAACATGTATAGAGAGAGCTGTTTCACCAAATTCACAAATTGGTGTCTTGCGTTCCTTGTTCCAGCGTCTGTAGTAGCTGGTGTTGCCATCTGCATGTACTGCATACCTGTTCAGCAGGTAGGCTGCGTGTTTCACCATCCATGGCATGATGGGATGTTTGCGGTAAGTCGTGTGTTGTAGTTGTTCTCAAGCTGTAGCTTGAGTTCTCTCACTTGTCCCATCAATGTTCGATGGAGACGTTCCACGCTGCCTTGGGCTTGTGAGTGTATGCTGGTGATTGTCGTACTGCTATGTTGCTTCTCATTGCTGTGGCTGTTGCTTTCAACAGTGCTATGAGGAAATCCTCATTGTCTGACTGTATGACAGTGTTGTTGAGCACTGCATGTGTTCTGCCACATTCCACAATGAATTGAAGGCATGTTGACTGTATTGCATGCTTTGTGTTTTGCCTTCTATCTGTGCTGCCATGCACATACCTGTTTCGGCACCAATGGCTGTGAAATTGATGATGTTGCCTGCTCACCACTTGCTTTGTAGTAGGTGACGTCGCACTGAATCACCGGTGTTTGTTGCTTCGGGTGGTTGTCTGACCTACCCTTTGCTTGTGCACATGCAGGGCACCAGCTCCTGTATGGTAAGTGTGTGAGCTCGTGTTCGGGCCTCTCTTGTGCTGTTGGTTGTTGTGGAGCTGGAAGGCCTCTTGCCTTTCTTGCTTCTTGTTGCTCCTCAACATCATCTGTGATGTATTCAGTATTCATCGTTGTATGTTGTTGTCTCCTCAAAGTTTGTTGATCCTGTCCACTCTTGGTCAAGTGTTGCTTGTCTCTTTGTGATCCAGTTATCATCTATCCTGTACCACCATTTGTTGGTCTCACCATCGTTGTTCGTTCTGTTGTGAGCTTGGTGACATCTGGGCCATCGTCTGTTTGTTGTGGAATGTAGAGGTCATGTCTTGGCTTGACATGTGCTCTCTTCCACAAATGTCCTTCTCTGATCCAATACTGTAGTCAGTTGTTGGTGGTACTGGCATTGGATGTGGCACTGAAGTTGATCCAGTTGCTCTTGTTGGATCAGACGGTGGCTGCTTTGATGGTCTGCTGCTTGTGCTGACGTTGGGTTAGTTGCTGTGGGACTGTCGTCCTGGTTGCTGGTAGTGCTGGCATTGGTGGTGTATTGCCAGGGAGAGGTGTTACTCTCTTGACCTTGAACCATGTTTTTTCTGTGCAAGGTTCTCCTTCAAGGATTCTCTTTTGTTGCGTGGTGTCAAGTGTTTGGCATGCATCTTCAATGTTCTCATTGTTGCCATTGCTTCTTCTTACAATTGCTCTTCTGTAGTTTTCCAGCCTTGCTGTTGGAACTGGACACCGTTGGTCTGGCACAAAGAGGGCTTTGCGTTGTGTTCTTTGCACTCTGACCAAATATCCTTGGTTGTTGACTGTCCAGAGGTCATTTCTGTTCCTCAAGACCTCCATACCTGTTGGTGTCAAGGTCGCTGGTGTGATCTTTGCTGTTGTGCCTTGGGTCGTTTGATGTACTTCCAGTTGCATGTTGACTGGAATGTTGACAACTCCATTGTCATGAAGTAGAGTCCATCACGTTGAACAAGTGCTGAGTTGAATTCCTTTGTGTGTGTGTGTGAGACTGTTGGTGTCTCGTTGAGTTGTATGTTGAACCCTTGTTCTGCCAGTGTTGCTACTGACAAGATGGGTTGTGTCACTTCGCGCACAAAGAAGGAAACAACTATATAGTTGTTGCTTGTTGACGTTGGTCATCAGGACCCATGTGTACCCATACGCTGGTATGTTTTCATCTGTTGCTGTTCTCAGTTGTGGCCCTTGTCCATGTTCCAAGTTGTGCATGGGTGTGTTGGGCGCAAACCATGGTGGGCAGACATGTGTTTCTGCTCCACTGTCGATCATGATATCGACTTTGTTCTCATCCTGTTGGACTGACTGAAGCGTTGATGCCGTTGGCGTTGATGGCATCTTGTAGTCCAGTGCTGCCACAAGATGTATGGCCGGCGATTGTTGTTCCTGCGCTGTGTGGATGTTGGTGCTGTCAGCGCAAGTTGTGGTGTTTGTTGAGGCTGCTGGTATTGTTGCCCAGCCTGTTTGGTCACTGCTATACCAGCTGGCATCATAGCCGTTGTTTGGGTAATACCATTGTGCCGTGTTGTCATATTGCTGCTCGTACGTTGTATCCGACAAATTGTGGACTACTGTTCGACAGTCTTTGGCCAAGTGACCTGTTTGGCCACATTTGTAGCATATTGCTACAAATTGCTACTGGATTCGTTCCTTTTCCTTGATTGTTGGCTCCTTTGTTCTTTCCTTGTCCTTTGCCTGTTCCTTTCACTGGCTGCCGTACTTGTTTACCTTTTACTTTTCCTTTTGCCTCGCCGTAGCCCTTGTGGTAGCCATATCCTTTTCCTTTTCCTTTGTATCCTTTGCCTTGTTGCTTTCCTTTGTATCCTTTGTGTCCTTTGCCTCTTCTTCCTTTTCCTTTGTGTGCTGCTGAAATATCCATTGGAGCCGGTCCTCCATTGTGATTGGTGCTCACTGATGAGGACACTTGTTGTTGAAGCCTCGCAAAGGCTGTTGTTGTCCTGTAGTACTCTGTAATGATCTCTCTGATCATTGGGTATGTTGGCGCTTGTCCTGCGTTCAGGTGTAATGCTGTTGCAAAAGGCCTGTGGTCTCATTCATGAGAACTGATATCTTGACCTTGTCTGGTAGTTGTGTGTTGTTGTCTCGCTCGTAGCGATCAACTTCAAATTCCCATGTTGAGAATGACTCCTCAAAGTTGTTGTGGTTGAAGGTTGGCTTGAGCAACTTTGTGAGGTAGCCAATGCTCCTTGTTCCCAGGGGGATTGAAAAGCGTTGGCAGAGTTGCCTGTATACTTCGAGACCCATTGCTGCTTGGTGTTGTCGGCACACCGTTGCTGCTGCAGCTGATGTTGTGCTGATTAGAATGTACTTGAGGTTGTTGGCTAGTTGTGTCCAATGTTCTGCTTCCTCAGGTGTTCCTGCTGCGGCTATCAGTTCTGCATCTGTAAGTACTGTTGGTGCCCTTTCTGCTCTTGACAGCAGATCTGGGTAGATGTTGTCTTGTATGCCCATGTAGGCTTTGAACTTGTACTTCCATTCTTCGAATGCTGCGTAGTTTCCATCATATGTTGGTGGCTTTAGCTCCAGCTTGTGTGTTGAGGCAAGTGCTTCTGTTGTTTCTTCATTTGCTGCCATCGGTGTTCCTATGTCGTGACCAGTTGCTATTTCTTCTTGTTGAGGGTCCCCCACACTCTTGAGTTGGGATCAAACCCTCTTGCTTTCCTTCACTTCACGCGCAGTTTGTTGTTGAACCTGTTTCCTCTTTCCCGTTGTTGTACTCGTGGTCTTTGTTGTGTTGGGCTGCTACCCAAGTGCTCCTTGTTGTTGCTTGTCTGGAGCTCACCTGGATGCTTCCAGGATCACTGCTCCGCTACCATGAAAAGATTCAAGGCAGTCTGTTGTCTCTGCTGTTGCAGTGCGCGCCTTTTGTCTGTTGGGCTCGGACCTGTTGTCACTCCAGGCTCAAGGCCTGTTGAACCAGAAGGCCATATTGGCATGACTAAATGTACAGTTGCACAACTGTTGTGCACACAAGGGTGCGTTGTACTTAACCATTATAGTATCGGGCCTGTGATCATTCTGACCCTTTTGGCTTTTGCGCCAGGAATTCGCCAAGTTGGTCACCAATCCGAAGCTGAAATTCTGGATGAGTCAGTTGGAGCTGCCTGGCACTGGCTGTTTCATAGGCTTTCGGGCTACAGTAAATGTTTAGATTCTGTTAGTTGGTTGCATTGGTGAACCCTTACGGATACATATATGTATATATATATATAGTACCTGCAGATGACATGGGAGTTGTCGGACATACCCAAAAAACGCAAACTCCCATGTCATCTGCAAAGTGAAAAAAACAGAAAAATGCATAAGTCCCGTGTCATCTGTAAAGTGCCTCGGAAAAAAAATCACATGACATGAGACCTTTGCATCCAAAAAGATGCAAATGTCATGTCAACTAACTCTCACACTGTACATTTCACATCCCACATGAACAAAGATAGTATATGAGTGTATGACTACCTACTAGCACTTGGAACTCATCTTTCAAGGAATTTAAAAGAATTTAAAGGAATTTAAATGCATTTAAAAGAATTTAAAGGAATTTAAAGGAATTGGAAGTCCCATGTCCTGTGGTAAATTCGTCTTTTAATGAATTTAAAGGAATTTAAATGAATTTAAAGCAATTAAAAAAAACAATTAAGGAATCTAAAGGAATTTAAATGAATTTAAAGGAATTTAAAGGACTTTTTAAGGAGTTACAGAAATTTAAAAGATTTCTTTAAAAAATAGAGGAATTAAGAAAAATTACCTGCCATTTCCCATCTTGGACGTCTGTGTTTTCCTGGAAGGCCCATGTCATGTGCCAAAAAACCTCGGCTAAATTGGCCGCAAAGTCCCGTGTCATCTGCGCCTAGTATATATTAAAATAAGACATGCACACATGTATAATATGTTATATATATATATCTGTGCGTAATGTATGTATGTATGTATGTATGTGTATGTATGTATGTATGTATGTATGTATGTATGTATGTATGTATGTATGTATGTATGTATGTATGTAGTATGTATGTATGTATGTATGTATGTATGTATGTATGTATGTATGTATGTATGTATGTATGTATGTATGTATGTATGTATGTATGTATGTATGTATGTATGTATGTATGTATGTATGTATGTATGTATGTATGTATGTATGTAATGTAAGTATGTATGTATGTATGTATGTATGTATGTATGTATGTATGTATGTATGTATGTATGTATGTATGTATGTATGTATGTATGTATGTATGTATGTATGTATGTATGTATGTATGTGCGTATGTCTGTATGTCATGTATGTATGTATGTATGTATGTATGTATGTATGTATGTATGTATGTATGTATGTATGTATGTATGTATGTATGTATGTATGTATGTATGTATGTATGTATGTATGTATGTATGTTGGTATGGTATGGTATGTATGTAATGTAATGTAATGTAACGTAACGTAACGTAACGTAATGTAATGTAATGTAATGTAATTAATGTATGTATGTATGTATGTATGTATGTATGTATGTATGTATGTATGTATGTATGTATGTATGTATGTATGTATGTGTGTATGTGTGTATGTGTGTATGTAATGAAATGTAATGCCGCACCATTCGCCGGGGGGTGCTGAGGTTAGAGTACCATGATCTCATGAGCCTCTTTGAATTCTTGGACAACGGGGAAACCTGGCAGCGCAGTTGCCACATGTTGCCACTGCGACGAAGAAAGGTTATTTTTCAGAGATTTGATGCAGGGTTAACCATGAGTCTTGGGGGATTCGAACTTACCATCAAAATATGGGGATGTGACTGAGAAATGATGGTGACGCCGACCCCTCCAGGGTCAGCAGTGCGATCCGAAGGCCAACAGCATCACGGCTGCCCAAGAAGGAGATGAACTTGAACATTTTTTTTTGGCAAATATGTACGAAAAAACGGCTAAAAGAGCAGGACAACGAAACCCTCCGCCACAGAGAGAACACAAAGGCAAGGACGAACCCTTGTCACCATGTTTTTACCATTGAAAAACGCTGAATAATGTGGTGATTTTGGTGTGTACAACATTTTCGGAACTCCCAAAGTCTTGAAAAATTGGGGTCCTTATTTTTTTGAAGAAACCATCCATCAACAGTATTGATATTGAATATCTATGAGTATCCCATTATCCACAACCAGAATTTCCCTCTGGATCCCTCTGGTAATTTAAGATAGATACACCTCCTCGTGGTCGACGTCGGCCTGGAACTTGTTTGGTTCCAGGTGCGAAGTAGCCCAGAATGCTATTCGTTCCATGAGATTAGTCATGGAGCCTGCAATTGTGCACAAGGACAATCAAGCACAAAAACCCAGAAAGAAAAATCTGAAAAATGAAAAAAAACAAAAAAAAAGAACAAATTGAAGTGAATTCGTGCAGTTTGTTTCAAAGGAGACAAGAGGCTTTGCCCAAAAAGAAGGTCGAAGAAAGAATGTTAAGACCCACCAAGATCTCCCCGCCGCGTGGGCGGCCCGGTTTGTTTACTTTGTTAGTACTAGATAGTACCCTCTGGTAATTTAACATAGCTGTAGAAAATCACCTTTTTTTAATGGGAAAATCCACTATTTCTATGGCCATTTTCAATAGCTATGTTAGTTTACCAGAGGGTACTAGGCCTTCTCCCGGGATCTTAGGGTCATCCCCAAGATGGCCATTGGGGAGACTCCATGAATTGCTAAGGATGGTGAGATCACGTTGAGCGAATTCATCGAGGGAGCTGCAAAACTTCGAGGCGTTTTTTAGCGATTCCGAATGGGTGAAGCAACAAGCGGCTATGTTAGTCATAACCAGATGGTAATTGAAATATTGTGAATTAAGCCAGATGTCGTTATTTGATGATTATATTGAGGTTCGCATGCAATTTCTAATGAACCCCCTGTTTACTGATGGGATATGAATCAACGACCAATGTGGAAATGATATTTTAGACCGAGGCACCGTGATTTATTGAGGGCAATCAGACATATGGTAGGATTCAGGGCAATCAGATGCCATGCCCATTGGGCGCACAATTTCGAACCAAAGTCTTATGTCAACCATAAACTCTGCTGATTTATTAGGGGGCTACCCGCAAAATAATGATCAATTACAGCAATCCCTCAGAAAATGAAAGTGTCATTATTTCAGTAGGGTCTTGCAGTTTTAAATCTTTTTGTCTTGCTATACTGTCGAAATTGGTTGGCCCCCCCCCCATTAGTGGATGGTGTTGGTTTTATTTATCCTGGATATTAGTCACATCCAGGACGTCTTCATGAACAGATGACTGGCAGGTCAAGCAAAAGCGCTCGACATTTGGCGGACGGAGACGAAAGTGGAGGCACCCTAGAAGTAAACCTAGTAATAAAGAAATAAAGACGGTTTTTTCTTCAAAATTCAAACACCGTTTTGCTTTATTTGTCAAGGGATATTGAAGTTGCAACTTGGTATTGGTTGACCACATGTTTAATTCATATTTTTGACAAAGCTCCACCTTTGCACCATGGTGTTGAGTTGTGTGGATTGATGGCCACAAGGGCACACCAACTTTCATGAACGGTTGAGTTGGGAGTGAATGAGCAAACCCATAGCATTTGGGATATTTTGTGGGGACCTGATTTTAAAGATGTGTTGCCCGAAATGGATGCTTCACCACAACACATGTCTTTGTTTTTCCATAGCTGCTAATAGAATATGATCCCCTTTGTATTTTCTTTTTGAATTTGAATGCGTTAATATGCCTATAAATCCAATCACCGTTGCTTGTGGGAACTGCAGTGTGTTGATTTGCCAGTGATGGGTGAGGTCCGGACACCATTCCTGATTTGTCTGCGAAGATCTTTTGCTTGGTGAAAATTCTCAAATTTACAGTTGGTCCTCGATGATTTATCATGTGCTCTCAAATTTCCTGGTTAATTTCTCATATTTTACCACGACAACTGGTCGCAGGTTCTGTTTGAGGAAGTGCTCAGCATGCTGCGCAGCACCTAGGCCAGTCAGGAAGTGAATGAAGTGAATGAGCCCGGAAGGGCACCTTTTTCTTATGTCCATTATAATGGGGCAAATGAATACAAATGATGTTTTCCGACCCTGAAATTTCGAAAAAGGGAGGCCTTGAGGCCAGCAGAGAACACATCTTCCACCAAAGTAGATAGCAAGCTGTGTCTTGTGCACAGGAAAATTGTAGCAAAAGTGCACTTTTTGAGCTCCCGGTTTAATTTTGCAGTCTCCATACTGTATATGCTTTTTATTGCTTTTTGTAAAAGCACGTTTTGATCGAATTTGTCGAGCACGCTATTTGGAGTAAGGGGGTTGGAGATAAAAGGTGGTTCTTTTTGTATCTTGTAGTGGTGGCATGTGGGTGCGCATTTCGTTTTTGTGGGTCAACTAGCCTCATGCGTGACTTCAGTGTGGCTTCCCAACTGACCTGGAAGACCCCCCAGGCCCCCATTGTTGAAGTGCTGCCCAGGGCGTTTGCCGGCTGAAGTACCAAAAATTGGCTTACAATCCAGCTGAGGTCATGCGCCACCCGTGGAAATCCTTGAGAGCGATGAAATGAGTCCCCCTGTCACCAGGTGCTGACACGGCGTTGTTTTTATTGCCAACGGGGCTGAAACCCCCAGTCATGGCCATTTTTTGGCCATTTCAATAGGGAAATTCTGATCAACCCCCCATTGTCAGACAAAACCAGAAGTCGAAGTCAAATGGAAAACCCTTTTGGAAATTGGACACACATCAATGGATAGAAATGAGTATTCAATTGGACATTGAAAAGAATTGGAGGAGTTTCCGGGACTGAGCCGTGGAGGTTTGTAACGCCAATGTGGCAACGACAACTGCAAGCATTTTTGGCGATGGGATGGGCCATAACAATCGTTACAGCAAAAGGAGCTTTACCCATCAAACATGAGGATTTCACCATATTTCACCAGTTGACAGATGGTGCTTGGGTGTCTCTGAAAATTGGGTATGCCCCCAAATGGCAATTTGAATGAGGAAAATGAGGCGTTGAACACAAGGGGCTTGGGTTTTTTCAATGAATTTGTTTACATCACCCTCAGCTAACTTCTTTGATTTCCCAGCAGCCCCAATGTACGCCATTTGTGACACCCTGGGTCGAAAATCAGTGGAAATGTGAGGATAGAGCTGCAAAACATGTCCAAAATGATGGACCCCGCATTTTGAAGGTCTTTGCTTTGCTCCAAAAAATTGGTACCAGAAATGCTGGAGGTTTATTACTCCCGCCATCACCATTCTCATTCTCATTATCTTGTTTTTTTTGGATTATTTTTTTCATATTTTTCCAGTGGTAAATCCACTATCTGAGGGAATCTACTGGGAACATGTTTTTCCCCACCTGTCAGGTGAGGGTTGTTAGATTTTATGTCAGCTGGCCCGCCGCCTTCCTCCCCTCCTCCTCCTCCTCCGCTGGACCTCAATTGCAAGCTCTAGATCGCAGCGTTTCCCGCCGGACCTGCAAGCTGTTCCCCGCCGGACCTCCATTGAAAGCTCCGGATCAAAGTGTTCCCCGCCGGACCTCAGCCACAAAGAATCTCTGAAGATATACCAGATAGAATGCCAGAAAGAATGTCATAAGATATGCCAGATACATATGCCAGAAAGAATGTCATAAATGTCAGACAGAATGCCAGAATAGATGTCAGAAAGAATGTCAAAATAGATGCCAAATAAAATGTTAGAATGAATGCCAGATAGAATGCCAGAGAACATGCCCGAGTAGATGCCAGAAAAGATGCCAGATAGGATGCCAGATCGAATGCCGTAATAGAATGTCAGAATAGAATGTCAGATAGAATGCCAGAATAGAATTTCAGAAAATATGTGCCATATATACTTTCAGATGACATGTCAGAAACTATGACAAAATAATGTCATGGTGGGGATCGCTCGAAGTAAAGCAATTGTTTTCCAGGGTCCCCTAAGGCAAATCCAAGTTATGATCTCTGGGTTCTTTGGTACCTAATGCTTGGTTGGCTCCTTTTTGAGATGGCAGGACCGCCAGTGTTCAAGAGATCTTCTCGAACTCCGCCTTCAAGTACCTGGGGACCCCGCACTGCAGAAAACCTGGTAGGGAGTGCCAATGAGATTGCCTTTCTAGCCCACGTGGACGGGAATTTCAACAGCTTTTTTGGGGTAGGATTGGATCTCAAAAAAGACTGCAATCAAACCAATCGAATTCGATTCTCAGATCAGTTTATATAAGTTGAATGTCTAGTCCGTTTAAACGAGGCCTGCTGAGTCGCGGCTCGACTCAGCTGAAATCTCCAACGAGTCCAATGGGAACATCTAGATGGGATCCCATCCATATTCAACATCCCCTGTGGTTGCAAATGGTAAGATGTGGTTTCATCCCAAGAAAAAAAACATGATTTCTGTGGTCATAGTTTATCGGCTTCAAAGGAGTGAACTGCTCAAGGGGTGGCAGATCTGGAATTCTTGGTCACTACTTCTTGTTAAAATACAATAGGATAAGCAAATAATCCAATCCTTCTAATACTGGACACCTCCACGAAACCATTGTTTAATAGGGGGTTTGCATATATTCGGGAACATTTCGGGGGTGTTTCATACTACGGGGATGGGATTATTACAAAAGAACGACAGTCAAGTCTGCGTTCCAACCCGTTTCAACCTTTGGCCCATATCCAGACACTCCCGGCAGGACTACAAATCGGGTCCTTGAGATCCCAGGACACTCGCTTGCATGATTAGCTCAGAACGGGTGAATGGGAGCATATTTTCTGGAAATCCCATGAGTAGGGCACAGGAAGGGCCCCAAAGGATAGGTAAGTTGGTTCATACCCTGGCCAACTGCTGGATCTGTGAGGGATATGCGATATGATAAAATAATATGATATCCGGCGACGCTTGTGGGGAGCGCGTCAGAGAAGAGATTACAAGCAGCAAGCTTCGACAAGCAGGTGGACGGCAGCAAGCGTGGACAAAAAGGTGGAGAGAACGGAAGCGGGGGAAGAAGAAGAAGAAGGAAGGATAAGAAGAAGACGAAGAAGAAGAAGAAGAAGAAAAAAAAGAAGAAGAAAAAGAAGAAGGAGGAGGAGGAGGAGAGGGCAGTGGCACGCCCGCCAAAGCTGTCAGCTGCAGGCTTCAACAGCTACTTTTCTAGAGGTTTGAAGGCAACGTTAAGCAGTGGCGTGGGGGTTGGAGGCGCGGTTGGGACAGCCTGGCATGTTGTTTTCCTGTTTGTTTTCCCTACCAAAGCTCCTCGGTTCACTCTAGAGGGTCAAACTTCAATCCCTCATAGCAGACATGCTAGCTCATTTATGGGGATCATTGTCATATCTATCATCTAATAGTAGGAAAAGGATGTCAAAAGGTTTTTGAGTACCGCTGAGATCCCAATTTTAGCCTGCAATGCTTCCATGAAATAGCAAGAACAGCAGAACAATGGCCCTTTCTCTTTGCGACGTTCACAGCTGTTGCATCAACAAGTCTCCTGGTTGTTTGTTTCAGGTACAGGCATCCCCATATGATAGAAAAAGTAAACCATCATGACATGCAGGTGGGGACAGCTCTTATTTGGATACTGGTACAGTACACACACACACATATATATATATATAACGACCGACTTACACTTAGAACCTCCATTTTTTTTCCAAAATGTTTGATCAAACACTTAGAACCCCCCCAATTTTCCAATTTTTGGTTCTAAGTGTTGATTTTCGCAAAAACGCAGAAAACCAACGCTTAGAACCTTTTTGGGGTTATGTTTACTCCAAAATGTAAGTCGGTCACTATATGTGAACAAACACACATCATACAGTTATATATATATATACAGATACATAATGTATACCTATATATATATACATATCATGTGCGCATGTGTGCATATGTAGATGCAAACACATATATATATATATAATCTTCTCCTAAGCCTGTGTCAGCCGATGCTACTACGATGCCGTGCTGAAATCGGCTGGAAAACTCCAGTCCACAGAACATTTTCTCTGTACTTCGTTTTGTTCTTAGAGGTCGGTAGAAAGTCACGAAACCCAAAGAGTCTTTCCAACTCCAAGACACATTTCACATTTTTAGGTCGTACTCCTTTGCTGGAACCTGACCCCTAGTTAGTTGTAGTTTGGTTCACCTTGACTTGTTTCATCTGCAGCCGTTTTCGACTTCGTTCAGCGTAGATAAAAGGGTAGAGCCCAAGTGTGAGTTGCTACTTTTTCCGCTGCATGGTAGCGGAGCCCTGAATGGGCAACTGCTGTCGAAGGGCCACCGCAAACAGGCCCGTGTTGAACTGGGGTGCCTTGGTGAAAAGGATCTTGAAGATCCGAAAGTTACAGAGGTTGTTCGCCTTTGTGGGTCACCACCTACAGAGGTACCCAAAGGCCCTGCTGAACAGGGTCGCTCTGACGTACCCCAAGCAGGACTGACGGCGAAGGGTCGCTTCGACTCTCGCCAGTCATGGCTCAGCAGCCGCCAGGGCCAGTAGACCCCATGGTGATGATGGCGCAAATGCTCCAACAAATGCATGTGGCCAACCAGAACACCATGCAGCTGATCCAACAGAATCAGCAAGCAATGGAGGCCAGAGACGCAGCGATGAGGCAAGCTTTGGGCGTGCAGAGAGAAGAGACGACTGAGTCCGTGAGAGTGTTGAGTGAGTCCTTGGCAAAGCTGGCACCCAAGGACAAGTCAGGAGTGGTCGATGTTAAAGGAGTCGGCAAACCTGAGGTGCTCCAAGGCGAGACAAAAGAGCAAATAAAGCAGAAGTGGCCTCTATGGTCATTTGGTTTCACGACGTGGTTCGTATCCCAATACGAACAAGCAGATGAGATGTTGAAGTGGGCGGCAGCCTACAACGGAGTCGTGGATGATCGGGCGATAGAGCTTGAAGTGGCCACCAGGCCAGGATGGGATGATGCTGCTCGAGTGAACCGGCAGCTACACACGGCCTTGGTGTCCTTGACCAAGGGTGAGACTCTGTCTATCCTACGCAATTCGTTAGCCCAAAGTGGACTTGATGGATGGAGGCGACTTAGTCGAGAGTACGAGCCACAGACCGCGCAGTCCAACTACCACTTGTTGGCAAAAGTGTTGAGGCCTACAAAGGCCAAGGACTTGTCGAGCCTACGTGGAGCTATCGAGACGTGGGAACGTCTCTACACTCAGTACCAAGAGAGGACCAGTGACGCGTTGAGCGATCCCACTCGTCGCCTATGCCTTCAGTCTTTGTGCCCTGACTCTCTAGCTGAACACCTGGACTTACACGCAAGCAGACTCGCGAGCTACGATGCTATGAGGGCTGAGATCGACACGTACTTGGACATCAAGACGTCGGTTCCCATGCGCAATCCGGACGCCATGGATGTTGATGCCATGGCCAAAGGAAAAGCCAAAGGCAAGCCTGGGAAAGGCAAAGGCGGTTCCCAAAGTGTTGGGCCTTGTCACGCGTGTGGCCGTTTCGGCCACCTCGCGAAGGACTGTTGGGACAGGACCGGAAAAGGCAAAGGAACTGGCGGAAAGAACGGAAAAGGCAAGAAGTCTGACGGCAAAGGCAAAGGGTCCTGGAAAGGATCCAACAAAGGTAAAGATTCCAAAGGCAAAGGAAAGCCTGGGATTAAGTCTCTGGAAGGAGAGGCGCAGGACTCCAAAGAAAAGGGTGCTGAGGCTGAAATCCAAGCGATTTTCGTCCTGGAGGAGAGCAAGCCTAAGTCCGACGAGGAATCCAGTAGAGGAAAGTCCACCGGTGAAGGCCGAGGAAAAGGAACTGGGTCAACCGAGGCGTTTATCCGCTCTCTCCTTACCAACCTGAAGTCGGTGGAAGCGCGAGAGATTCACCGAGCCAAAGTCGAGCTGAGCAAAGGAGGATCCGACGAGGATCGTCAACGGAAGTTGGAGGAGGAAATCGCGGCAAGAAAGCAACAGCTTGAGGTCCTGAAAGGACGGAGTGCACGCTTCGAAGAAGATCCACGGTACCGACAGGACATCCGCGCTGGCCACAGCGTGCGGCTGTCCAAGCGAAAATGGAAAAGCCGCGTGCGAGCGGCAAAGCACCGTGCGGAAGGGTCCACCGAAAGGGCCTTTGAAAGAAAGGAGCTTGACAACAAATGGCACGCCAAGTTCCGCGGTTCGACCGAGGATGTCGAGTGGAAAGCTGGAGTGGACACTCGCCGCCAACACCAGATCGACCGATACGGAGGTCGGTTCGAAGGAGACCGGGAGGACTTGCGGCCTGACTTGGTGATGAGGGCTCTGAACTATAAGGAGCGGAAGGAGTTCCGCCAGGAGGACGATGAGCCTCTGGAAGAAGTCAAGGTTCGCAATTGGTCCAGACCGCAATGGATGAAGCGCAACACAGCCGAGGCCAAGCACAAACACCTCAAGAGAACGGGTTGGAGACTCAGCCTGTTGCGGCAACGGAGCAAGGCTAAACGGGCGAAGTTATGGAAGGAAGGTGCCCATGTCCGCGCACGGAAAGGGTCGCTTCGACCGCTTCCGGCGGACAAAGGGTCCACGAAGAGAGAGCCAGACTTCGAGTTGCTCGCAGACCAGGCCTGGGCCAGAAAGAAGGCCAGGATTGAGGAGCCGAACCTGGAAAACCTTGCAGACGTGGCTTGGTCCAGGAAGGAGATCAAGACCCTGTCGCAAAATCTTGAATCGGCAGAAGACGACCAGGAAGCCGCTGAGATCGAAGAGGAGATCAGGGTGCATGAGGCCAAAATTGCATCTTTGATGCCGAGCAACGAGCAGAGAGACGAGCCACCATCCACCGCATGTGGGAGCCGAGACGTGCCCTGCAACGACTATGAGGAGGTGGTTGTCGAAGAGGAGCCTGTGGTTGGACAACCCGACGTCTCTGAGGATGACGATGAGACTTGGGGGAAATGGAAACCGAGTCAATGCTTGGTGGACTTGGGGTTCTCCAAACAGGAGGCCCATCATTTGGTGCGCCACTACCGTGACGAGGGCTCCGTGGAGAGCCTTGAGATCTTCAGCGTGGACGAGCCGGCAATCGACGGCGAATGGGAAAAGGTCTACGTCACTGTCGACAGTGGAGCTGCTGTTACTTGCTTTCCGGAATCCCTGGTCCAAGGTTACCAAGTGGGTGATCACTCTGGGCCAAAGCAGTATACCAGTGCTTCAAACCACGAAGTGACGGCGTTGGGAAGCGCCAGCCCTGTGATCTGCTTTGAAGATTGGCAGGTCAACAAGGTCGAGGCTGTGGTGCTGTCCCCTCTGAAGAGGCCGTTGTTCAGCACCAGCCGAATGGTTGCGGCCGGATGGAGGATTGTCCACGACAGTGAAGAGAACGGAGGATCATTTGCCTTGCATCGGGCAAGTGGAAGGAAGTTGAAGATGATCGTCATGGGCGGTGTCTACAAGATGCCCGTTTGGGTTAAGCGCAAGCAGGTTTTCGGCCGGCGGGGAGACATCCCGTAAGGCCGAGTGAGTCATCAGAAGGAAAAGTTTCACCCAGCCATTTTGGCCAATCCCACGGACCGGATCGTTTCGATCGTGTCCGAAATTCTGACATTGCACCAGTGGAAGGAGAATTCGAAGAGGAAAGCCTTGTGCCTTCACCAAGTGTAATGGAGGATGAATCGCATCCGCCGCAGCAAGGAGAACCAGCAGGCGAGTATGAGGAAACCGAGCCTGGGTTTGAAGTGGACGAAGATGAGGCTCAAAGTGCAGGTGTCCAAAAGACCCCGATGCTTCCAAGCCAAAGTGAGATTGACGAGCACAACCTCACTCACCTGCCGTTCCGAAACTGGTGCCCGTTTTGTATCCGTGGGAGAGGACTTTCTTCGGGGCATTTTGCCCGCAGGAGTGTTGACGAACAGCAAATTCCCACCATATCGGTGGATTACTGTTTCATGGGCGATTCGGCCACAAGAAGTGCAGATTTGCCTGTGATAGTGGTCCGGGACAGAAGGACCAAGTCGGTGTGGGCACACCCTGTGCCTTCCAAAGGAGTTGAAAATCCCTTCG